CCCGCCCCCTCGCTCACTCACTCACTCGCTTGCCCTTGGCTCCTTGGCGGAAATAGCAATTTGAAGCAAAATCTTAGCTTTATAAAGGTTTTATAGAGGAGAACAGAAAACACGCAGAACAAAAACACAGAAAAAACACGCAGAACAAAAAAACACGCGGAGCAAAACAAAAAACACTCGTTCCAATATTAGGATTCTAGGTAACAGAAATTAAAAAATCTTTTCAGGAACCTTGTAGGAAAATGCATGGGATTTGGGATGCTATGGTTCAGGGCATGCGGCGTTGCTGATTTGGGGGTCTGCTTCATGTGGCTCAGATACCTTCAATTCAACAGCCCTACCTAAAGTAATCTATATACCTCATAAAATGGGTTATGTACCTAATATTATGGTATAGGTGCTTTTTTAAAAGCTCTAGGCTAATTACTCTAGGTCAGACCCAGAAGCTCTGAACCCTTACGAAGTCCCGAGATGTTGCCAAAAACCTTTCACAGGAGGGTCCAAGTACAGAATAGTTAGGTACATGGGATCTGGTACCAGTAGTTGCAGTACAGGTTTTTGAAAAACGGTAAAACCCTAAACCGCGATACGATTGTTGGGTATTTGGACCCTGTAGAGTTCAAGTAGCACTACCCACGAACATTCAAGTATCATCTGAGTTCCGGCTTGCACCTTAGGGTATGGGTATTAGATTTTAAGGTATAGCGCCTACTACTACCGAGGATGCTTGTGCATTTCAGAGTAAACGGAGACTCACATGCAGAGCAAAAGGAAGTGCAAACTGGTTTTATATGATGATCATGTAGCTTAACCCCAGGGCTTCGCCTTGAGGAGTGACTGAACGTGGGAACCACTCAATACAACCCCCAGCTTTCTGCATGGTCTCTCCCAGCGATACCCCATACCTACACCCACCAATATTCCTCAGGAACCCTGCGCGGAATAATTTTCGGGATCCCCCTATTTCTGTAACGAAATACTACCTCCTGAACCCTACACCTGAAACCTTAAATCAAATCCTAAGCCCTAAGCTCTAAATCTTAAGCCCTAAAACCCTCAATCCTAGAACCTAAACCCTGAACCCTAAATCCTAAACTCTTTAAACATATGTGAACCCTGAATCCTAAACCCTCAACCTGAAATCCCAAACAATGAAAACTAAAACATAAGCCTCAGTCCCAAATTGAAAACCTAAACCCTGAACTTATGAACTTTAAACCGTAAATCCTAAACCCTAAATCCTAAATCAAATCTTAAACCCTCAAGCCCAGGTCAGTACAAATTGAATAGGGGAAAAGCAAAACGGCAAAACAATATGAAACTGCACAAAACTCGGCCCAAAGTCCGGACCTGAACCCTATACAATTTGTGTAAACCCTAAATGCTAAATCTTATATAAACCATAGTCTAAACTCCTGAAAGGGGGGCCTACATAGGGGATTACTATAGGGGATTACTATAGGGGTTATTAAGGGGGATACAAGGAGTTTAGACTATAGCTCATATACCATCCCCATGGTAAGCTCTTGTGCGTTCCGAGGCTCCCACAAGCATGACCTAGAGCCCCCTCAGAGTGTCCAAGTACCCAGTAAATTGGTTCATTTAGACAGGATATATAAGGGTACATAGGGTTTAGGGTTTAGGGTTTAGGATATATACACTCCCGCAAACTAACATGCCAATAATGAGGTACTTGGGATTTGGGTCATGGCAATTATGGTGCAGACTTTCCGTAAGTAGATGACTATTGCGTACTTGGAAGCTTAAAGGGGGGGGGGGTGGGTGGAGGCATTCGACAAATTGTGGTTTAAGGTTTAGCGTGTGGTTGGGAACCCCTGTAATACGGATTGTATATTGATATTGGGGTCTGTGCTAGCCCCCCCTGTTGGAAATGTGTCCGTATATCCGTAGGGAGAGGCTCACTGAAATCAACTACAATAGGTATGCAAGCGGAGTCTAGGTCACCTGCTAGAGATACTAATTCAGCGCGTGATCTGGATTAGAAAAAGCAGTCCGAGCAAAGACACGTCAAGGAAACTTCTAGCTTTTTCATGTGATGAAACTTTAGGTGGTGTGCCTGGCAATGTCTGCGCAGCGCTGGTCGCCGTCGGCGCATCTGAGGGGCAGAGACGTAGGATTTTGTGGCTTATGCTCTAAGCTTTTGGCTGTAGGGACGTCTCTACTTCCACGTTCATGGGTCCTTAAGTGGGGCTAGAGGTACCTTGGCCTAGCTTACGGCTATGGCTCTGCTGCTATTTTGGCCTACCCCCTTAAGAATACCATTGAACTGCCAAAGATAAGTGCAAGCGCGAATCACTTCCCTAAGGGTCCAAGGACCCAAATAATGGGGTTTTAGGGCCCAAATACCATTAATATTATAGTATTTTGGCCCTAAACCCTATTATTTAAGCAACTGAGAATCTTTCGGCGTTGTGCCTGGCAGGGTCTGTGCTGCGCTTGTGGACGTCGGTGCATCTCAGGAGCGAGGACAAAGGGTTTGTGGTGGATATGTTGGGCTCAGGGTTTACCGAGAGTGCCCCTACATACCTAATATTGCCTAATACAACAGGCTAATATACCCAATAATTTTGGTATCTTAAATTTTTGAAACGTCTAGGTTTCATATTCTAGGTAGGCTGTAGGGTCTAGGCAAGATATTCTGAACCAGCAACATCAGGATTTTACGTGAGGTTAGGAGTTTGGGGATGATCCCTACTTGAAGGTTCATCCTAAGTTTAGAAGTATGGGCCCCTAATACGGGCCCTAAGGCCTGTTAGGGGGATTCTAAGGACCCCAGGGTTAAGGGACCCCTGAACCCTAAACCCCTTCACCCTAAACCGACCATACCAGAGGCCCATAGTTTCAACCGAGGCTCAGCTGTAGATTCCACGGGTCGTGGTTTAGGGTTCAGGGACCCGAAAGTTGTTTAGGGTTTAGGGGTTTAGGATTCAAGGTATCAATACCCACCAACCCCCTCATGTTGAATTTTCCCGGCATTTCATGAAAGGTCACAATGGGAGTATTTAATATTAGGATTTTAGGTTGGTGGGGGGGCGGGTCTGATATTGGGTGTCAGGGGATAAGTCTAGATCACAGCCAAACCCTCTTGGCAAGTACCGTTCAAGTGCCCTAATGCCAGCACGTGCAAAGGACTGGTGCAGGAAACCCTAACCCCTAACCTTAAACCCTAAACCCTAAACCTTAAACCCTAAACCCTAAACCCCTAAGGCCTGGTGTTGGGAACGAGAACGCCTTGGAGGACCCAGGTCTAACCAAAAAATGCCTACCGTACGATGGGCCCGAGCCTCCAAAGCCGCTAAACCCTTCCACCATGGGCTGTTAGACCCTAAAATTCCCTATTAGGACCTTATTAAGGGTTTAGGGGTTTAGGGTTTAGGGTTATGGGCTATGAGACCCTAAAATTCCCTATTAGGACCCTATTAAGGGTAGATTAAGGTACCCTAAAGGTCTAATAGCCCATAGTGGTTCCTGAACCCAAAAGGTATGCAGACTAATGGCCTTTCTTCCGCTATCAGGTTTTCGGGCGAAAAATTCGACATACTTTTGGGGTCTAGGTTAACCTTAACCCTTAACCCTTAACCCCTGAACCCTTACCTAGTAGGCTATTTGATACACAACGCCAGGCACTCAGGCTAAGAACCCAACTTGTTGGCACCCATATTCCCAACCTGGCAACCCCACAAACCCTAAAGCGTAATCCTAAACCCGAAACCCTAACAGGCCTTAAAGATTTGGGGGTACCAACGTCGAATCTAAAGCCCTGGACCTGGTCCGTCTCAAGCTCAGCCCGGCTTGCTGTGTTCAGGGTCTAGGGTTTAGGGTTGAGGGTGTAGGGTTTAGGTTTGGGGTTTCAGGTGTATTTAGCGTCTACATTGAAATTTCTGTGGGGCCTTCGATAACTGGAATAGGGCCCTGGAGAGTATTGAAGTGTAAGCTTGCCAGGAGGACAAACAACTAGTATTCCAAAATTACGACGCTTCCTTGCTTGACTGCTTGCCTGTAGGTTGTGGATAGAAAGAACTGGGATTGAATCCTCAGATGTGACCAGCAAAGCGTGGAAGGGATGCCAGCAAAGAAATCGGAACCCCAGTGGGCATGCTGGCGGCCACGCGCTGCACCCTTACCTTATAGATAAAAATTCGAAGAGAGATGCCAAAACGACACCGAACATGCGATACCCAGAATGTTGAACCCGCAATCGAAATTCGTAAGTCCAAGTAGTTGTAGGCAACGGTAAAGAACAGCTGATGACATAAACGTCCTATAGAAGCTGCCACACTGTCCAAAGCAACTCTGTAGCTAGCCCTTTATCAAGTCATACCCTGCAGGCTTTAGGCTTGAAAGTGTAAGGTTTCGTGCCCTAGCTGCTTCACCGAACAAAAGGCTGCCAATCAGTAGCCGCTCATTATTAACATCTTTTTGGTCACCTAAACTTTGTCCTGACTCGATGCCAAAACCCGGAGGGTCCACATATACAACCATTAGGGAAATGGGACCCATAATTCCTTCTNNATTCCCTAATAGTTGTATATATGAGCCACTGTCTAAACTCCTAGTATCCCCCTTAATAATCCCTATAGTAGCCCTCTATAGAATCCCTATATAACCCCCTTTAAGGAGTGTAGACTATAGCTCATATGGACCCCCTGGGAAAACCTATAACCATGCATCCCAAGGCTCTAAGCCGCACAACCTACACCCTGAAAGATCAAAGCCGTACAGGCCTAGAGTCATCCCCTGAAGCCTAGACCCCCAAAATGAAGGCCCTAGACCCTGTCCCCGAAAGCAAAATTCAACCTGAACCCTACACCCCAAACAATGAACCCTAAACCCTAAACCTCAACTCAACTCGAACCTGGAAGAGTCTGCGCCGCGCTCGTCGCCATCGGTGGCGGGGTGTCTGCGGAGTGCGGAGGGGTTGCGCGTGCTGGGCGGAAGGCTACTGGCAGCTACAGTATACATGTGTAAAATACTGATGTACACACATATATATATATGTATACATAAACTGTATATATATACTTATCCCTAAGATTCCAAGTACCTAGCAATCATACCGAAAGCCAATTACTATGGACTAAATTCTTAAAGTACCCAATTATTGGGTACTTGGACTCTAATCCCTAAACACTAAACAACCCTCTAGATCCCTTTAAAGGGGTTAATTATTGGGTACTTGGACCCTCTGGTTATGTGCATACATCTGCGTGTGCGCGGAGAGTTGAGCATGTGCTTACATATATATGTATATCCGGTGTGATACACATATACACATGGAGAGATGAGGCTTCAGGTTTTTTGAGTCTAGGGTTTAGGGTTTGGGGTTTAGTGGGGGAGATTTGGGGTTGAGGGTTCAGGGCCTAATATGCCGCGGCGCAACTCTGGTTATCAGATTCATCCCTAACCCCTACATAGACCCTAAATCCCTGATACCTAAACCCCTACACATAAAACCCGCAAACTTACACCCAACCCTAAGCCCTAAACCCTGAATCCTAAACCGCGTAGGTAAGGATCTTGAATATACCCTAAACCCTAAACCCTAAACCATGCGATGAGGTTGACGGCCGGGTAGAAGCCTCTTAGCACCGAAAGAGTTCAAGGCTACCGGGATCCCCCCAAAACGCGCGATTTAAAAAGCAACCCTAGGGATCCAAATACCCCAATGTAGGTAATATTTACAGACTTTAGGACCCAATGTAGGTATTATTTACAGACTTTAGGACCCTTTAGGACCCAATGTAGGTAATATTTACAGACTTTAGGGCCCAATGTAGGTATTATTTGTGTACATGGATCCCTAGGGCAAGTTCTAAACTGGAATGAGGGTGTATGATCAA